ATGACTGGACAAGGAGTGTTTGAGGGTGGATTGGGGAAAAATAACTAGGAAGTCTTGGGTTTGTGTTTGTTAATTAGAAGAACCACACTGATCGAAGTAAGAAGAAAATATATAAGGTATGCAAGTTTTGACTTAGATATGCCATTTACTGTCTCAAGTATAATCACAGTTTGCATTGTTTCAAAGGAGTATTTTCCCATGATCGCCAATTATGGTTATTGAGGCATTCATTGTCGTCTATAGGATCTTCTCTCTTCCAAGAATATGCCCACAACGTGTGCATTGTGTAATTTATTAATCAAGTCAAATTCATGAAAAATGCCATTCGATTCGTGAGAAGTTTGTTGCGTGATGCATATGAAGAATCAAGCCTCTTTTATTCACTAAAATAGGAATGTGCCTATGGTAATTTATTGAGAATTTGCATTAGATTGAGGCGTGGGCAAATAATCTCAAGAGTAAATGAATAATAAACATTGTTGCATAAGTATGAAAGAATAGTGGTAACAAAGTGTAATCAGGGGCTTTTGCTAAACACACCCTTAGGGCTGGAGAACATGTGTTTTTGTGTGCTCAAAACATATATACATGCATGTGGGCCGTGTCAAACTTTTGCCTGCCCTCATAATTCTGTGGAGTGGGGTCCACGAGTTGGAAAAGCGCGTGAGGAGCAGAGCAACGCGGTTTTGATTCTTTCCGCGTGCGGTTTTGATTATTTCCGCGTGAGAATTCGTTTTGAACGAATAACCCAAGGCCAACCCGAATTTTCAATATATAAGCCTAGTTTTTTGTTTAGGGCTGTGAGCGAGGTCAGAGGCGGTGGATTTGCGCGCAGAAAAAGAAAAAAAAAATTTTGCGGCTGCGTACGAAGGTGAAAGGATGGTGTGCAGAGGTAAAAACCGAAGGTGATTTTTCAACTGAAGGAGAGAAAAATCGCAGAGGCTTTTCTTTGTTTTTGACGGCTGTCTTTTGTTTTGAAAGAGATAATTGTGTGAGGGGTCTGAGAGTTTGTGTGAGGGTTTAGATATGAGAGATTGTAAACCCTAGTTGTATCTCTCCCTCTAATAGTAGATCTCCCCCTCCTTGCCCCGTGGACGTAGGCAATTTGCCGAACCACGTAAAATTTGTGTTCTTTCTATGATTTGTAATAGCTTGTAGGTTCCCTCGACGCGCAGTCCTAGAGTTGACGAGAGGAAGAGCTGATATCTCACTTTGATGAGATATCTGGCTTTTGGTTCTTGTTTCCTTTGAGAAATGAGAATTCCGTTGTGATCTAATCTCTTGTTGTGCACCTTGCGCACCGGAGGTGCTGCCGAAATTTCCGCTGCGCACAACAAGTGGTATCAGAGCTCCGGGTTGGACTTGGGAGCTTGTTTGAAGGATTCGCTAAAGGATTCCTATTTGAAGATTAAATCGACAACATGGGTGAAACAAGCACATCGAGATCGTCTCTTACGAAGACGATACATAGTTTGAGCATCAATAACATGAAGATTGATGTTCCGAAGTTCGGTTTGAGCATCAATAACATGAAGATTGATGTTCCGAAGTTCGACGACAAGATTAATTTCGGATTGTGGAGGTGTCAGGTGATGGACGCCTTGGACGCTCAGAATTTGGAGGAGACTCTTGAGTTACAAGAGAAACCTACCGATATGGAAGATAAGGTTTGGAAGAAGATGAATAGTAGGGCGTGTGGAGTTATTCGGTCATGCTTGACGCCGGATCTTATTTATGACGTGATGAACGAGACGTCGGCGAAGAAGATGTGGGAAACACTCAATGAAAAGTATCTTACTAAGAGCATTGAGAATCGACTTCACTTGAAGAAGAGGTTTTACCAGTTCAAGATGAAGAGGGGAGTTTCCATTATAGCATGTTAACAACTTCACAAAAGCTACTTTCAGACATGGCCAATGTGGATATCATAGTTGAGGATGAAGACAAGACGATGCTACTTTTGTGTTCGTTGCCCGAGGATGATTATGGTACTTTTGTCTTAACTATGATTAATGGAAGAACTTTACAAGGAGGTGACCTCAGCGTTAGTAAATTATGAATTGAGGAAGAGTGTGGATGAGTCCTCCGAGAAGGTATCGGGAGATGCATTAGTAGTTCATGGCCGTGGTTCAAACCAAAGCAGGAGGTCGCAGTCTAGAGGTGCACATTGTGGGATTCGTAGGAATCAGTGTTCCTTTTGTAAAGAGGATGGACATTGGAAAGCCGAATACCCAAAGTTAGATCGAGCCGAGAAGAATAAGGGGAAAGTTGTACAAGCTTTAGAGGTGAATGTTATCAAGACTAGTGACAACAAATTCAGATTCGGATTCTTTGGGCTATTCGTTGTCTGCACTACCGTCAGTTTGTGTTGCCAACTCTACAGAGTGGATGTTGGATTCGGATGCTTCATACCACGTTTGCCCTAGGAGGGATTGGTTCTCCAGCTTTCAGAAGTTGGAAAGAGAGGATGTTGTGCTCATGGGTAATGGACATGCATGCTCTATTGGTGGTATTGGTACCGTTCATATTCGGATGTATGACAGAGTGATTCAAGAGTTGGATGAAGTGAGGTTCGTTCCGCAGTTGTCGAAGAACATCATTTCACTAGGAGCTTTGGTGGCATCTGGCTATAAAGTGACCTTGGTGGATGCACGTTTGAAGGTCACATCGGGGTCCATGATTGTGATGAAGGGCGTCAGAAGGAGCAATTTGTATTATTTACTTGGAAGCACGGCGATTGATAGCGAGATGACGACTTCATCAGATTCGGCTAGATTGTGGCGTTGTTTGATGCTGGGTTATTTGATTGGTAATACCGTGCATAGGTTATTGAGGAGTGCTTTGACCTGCAGTTTGAAGTCTTGTAAACTCATTGGTATGAGCAAGAAGACCGAGATGGAGTTTGGCACTTCTATCCTTCATTCGAGGGGTCTTCTGAGGGCTGTTCATTCAAGCATTCGGGGGCCTTCCAAGGGAGCATCATTGGGAGGTAATAGGTATGTGGTTTCCGTAGTTAGGGATTGCTCTAGGCATTGGTGGGTTACAACCAAGTCCCGTTGGTGTGAAGTCCTAGAAGCCCGCAACAGATGGAGGAAGTGTGTTGGAAGAAAGGTAACCCGACGTTCTGATTATGGTAGGGGTTTTTTCTTGCATTTGTACCGAGCTTACGGCAATAGGAAACACTTCATTGGTGTGGAAACTTTGAGGCGACAAGGCGAGATAGCAGATTGGGGCAGCTGTTCCTTTCTGGAGGAGGATCGGCGTTTGATGTCGAGCATTGGCATTGGTGTGCAGGCTACGACATGTTTGGGCCGTCTCATGTATAGGTTGTCGACTGTTGCATGTAGAGATATGGGATCTAGTGGAGCTGCTTTAGATTTTGGGTTGCGTTGGATGTTTGGCTACCCAGCATTTGGTCACATCGTGGATGTGAAATTTGATCCGATAGCACATTTAGGATTCAGAGGCGTGTTTAATTATCAGGTATTGGCTTCTGACTTTGTTCTGAGCAAGGTATGTCACGTTTAACTCTCGGCAGGTGGAGAGTGGTGATCAGATCATTAGGACATCGCAGCAGGTGGAGAGTGATGCTACTCCACGTTGGGTGAAGACTCCAGATCATACTGCATCATTTGGGATTCCAGCTGATGTGACACGGATTAGGAATCGTGTTGATTTGGATGCAGATGATGAGTTGGATTCGCGTGCAGCTGATGGACTTGATTTGGATACGACCATTGGTTCACCTCAGATGAAGGTGTTTGATTTGTCTCAATTTGGGGCTATTGGGAGTGCTATCAGTTGCAAATCGTTTGGTGATATTGAAGAAGAGTTGCAGACTTTTCTATTTGATTGAGGACCTTTGGAGGCCATTGGGTGAACTACGTTCGGCTTGATTCCTTAGGCAAGAGGATATGTAGGCAGTCTTTATGATGCAGCCGGGTTTGGATTTTGATGGGGGTGAGATCGATTTGGTGAGTAGATACCGACGTTTGGGTGAGTGTTCGTACTCCCATTTGGGTCTCGATTTGTGTGGATGGAGTCCGTTGTCATGAGTCCGTTACCGTGGCGTACTGGATGCAACAAGTGAGATATTTGTTTTGGTTGGTGTCGGCTCAGTTTTGGGAAAACTTCGCCGAGGTGGAGAATTGTGGAGTGGGGTCCACGAGTTGGAAAAGTGCGTGAGGAGCAGAGCAACGCGGTTTTGATTCTTTTCGCGTGCGGTTTTGATTATTTCCGCGTGAGAATTCGTTTTGAACGAATAACCCAAGGCCCACCCGAATTTTCAATATATAAGCCTAGTTTTTTGTTTAGGGCTGTGAGCGAGGTCAGAGGCGGTGGATTTGCGCGCAGAAAAAGAAAAAAAAAATTTTGCGGCTGCGTACGAAGGTTAAAGGACGGCGTGCAGAGGTAAAAAACCGAAGGTGATTTTTCAACTGAATGAGAGAAAAATCGCAGAGGCTTTTCTTTGTTTTTGGCTGCTGTCTTTTGTTTTGAAAGAGATAATTGTGTGATGGGTCTAAGAGTTTGTGTGAGGGTTTAGATTTGAGAGATTGTAAACCCTAGTTGTATCTCTCCCTCTAATAGTAGATCTCCCCCCTCCTTGCCCCGTGGACGTAGGCAATTTGCCGAACCACATAAAATTTGTGTTCTTGCCATGATTTGTAATAGCTTGTAGGTTCCCTCGATGCGCAGTCCTAGAGCTGACGAGAGGAAAAGCTGATATCTCACTTTGATTTGATATCTGACTTTTGGTTCTTGTTTCCTTTGAGAAACGAGAATTCCGTTGTGATCTAATCTCTTGTTGTGCACCTTGCGCACCGGAGGTGCTGCCGAAATTTCCGCTGCGCACAACAAATTCCTCTTGCCTCCCTAATACACAACATGACTCACAAGTAACAGCGACACATTCTTGATGCTTTACTCAATTATTAAGCCACCAATCATGTACATATTCTGCCTTCTTCAAACAAAAATATTCATTCAGAAAACTGATTGATGGAAGATTAGAATGCCTATACCACAGGTGGCAGTTTGGAGATGACGGTAAATGCCTAAAATACCTCAGGTCTTCCTTATTTTCCTGCAATTTCTTATTTATTTATCAAATTTCTTTCAAATGCCTAACAATAATGAATCAATTTAAACACAAGAAATAAACTATTTTCGAATGCCTAACAGTACTGTGAGCTTGAGGAGGAGTTGTGATTATGGCAATGGCAGAGGACTTGGGAGTATGAGGAAGAAGGGTTTAAGGTTAGAGAGGAATGGGGAGTTTGAGGGATAATAATGGTTATCATTTGTTTACGCGGTCATAGTTGGCTTGTTTTCATCAACAGATCATGGTATGGTCTAGCGCATTGGCTTATGTATGTACTAAAACTTTAATTTACGTACTTGTGTAGGAGAACAGACAGTTAAAATAGTTTTATATATTTTTCTTGATAGTTCCATATGTTGCCATTTGCCTTTTCAACTTTCAATGTTTATCTACACGTACGTATGAGTTGATGGGTATACGTAGAATGAGTTAATAACTAGCTGCTTTGCAATATGGATTTTCTTAACTGAAAAATACATAGATATCAGTGTTTCCCAGTTACACTGAACTGAAACTCTGCCATTTGATTCTCATCTATTTGATAGGTTGAAAATGAATTGCCTGAAAAAATTGAAAGGCTTGTGAGATGTGAAGCCTCTACATATCAGAAACTTCTAATGAAGAGGGTGGAAGAGAATCTTGGGTCAATTAGAAATACAAAGGTAATTTTCTGTAGTTTGTTTCACATGCTATCTTTGTGTGCTTGCTGCCATTGTATTACACTGATTTTCTACAATATTCAATATTAGGGTCGTTCTGTGCACAACACAGTGATGGAGTTGCATAATATATGCAATCATCCATATTTGGATCTAGTTCTATTCTCTTTGAGGCTGCAGCTAGGCTTCCCTTTCTTTAGGTGCCATTTTTATTTCTTTATTATTTTAGGCAAACATATGTAAATTTATCTTGGTTAATGTTCTGTTGAGATTCGAGACGCTTAAAAGTGTTGTCAATGGGGATGGCGAAGTCATGCCTTGTTGCTGCTACATGGCTCATACATATGCTCATGCCTTTTTGCGGATTCACCAGATCCTCACAGGCCCGCAGAGGATATAGCTTTTGCTGTTGCTCGATTTTTCCAAAGAGGAGGAATTGTGCGTAATGTTGTGCGATGGAGCATACAGAACCTCTTGTAAATAATTTATGTAAAAGTTTGTAAATAATTTATGTATCTCTCTACTATTTTCGTGAATGTATTATTTGAATGTAATAGGATTTGATATTGGAATATTATTAGATTGTGTTGGATATGAATATAATTTTTTGTTGTTCAATATTGTGTTCATGCACCCAAAGTAGATTCTGCAAAAATAAAATCAAATACTGTAGCATAGTATCCTAGACGGAAAATCCGTCTAGGATGCTCAAAATCCATCTAGGATACCATTTTAAAAAAAATAAAAAACATCAATTTTCGTCTAGAATGAGTATTCTAGACGGAAATTTTTATCTAGATTACTCATTCTAGATGGAATTTTTTTCTGTCTAGAATGTATTATTCTAGATGAAAATTCCGTCTAGAATAATCCGTCTAGGATGTATTCTAGACGGTTTTGAATTCTGTCTAGAATATTCCGTCTAGGATGTATTCTAGACAGAATTTCCATCTAGAATACTACATCCTAGACAGAAATTTCCTAGACGGGTATTCTAGACGGAATTCCGTCTAGGATACACATCCTAGACGGAATTCTGTGTATCCTAGACGAAATTTTCCGTCTAGGATGCCTAATTTTTTAGCAGTGCACTTTAGGCAATAAAAGTTATACCCTCTAACTAATAATACCTAAAAAGTGACGCTGACAACAATAATACCTATAAATTAACACAGTTAACCAATTAAATTTACTCCGGTCACAAAAATTTTGATTTGTGCAAGAAAATTATGGATATATATATATATATATCACACTTATAAATTTATCCTCAAAAATAAAATATTTACATAAAAACCTAACTCTCTTTCTTTTCAACCTCTCTCTCCCAACTCCACTTCTCTGCTCCATCTTTCTCCACTCCCTTCTCCACTTTTAAGTTAATGTTTAAAGAGAGAGGAGAGAGAGGAATAGAGAGGAGGGAATGGGAGGAGAAGACTGTGATGAGAGAATAAAGAAAGGTTAATTAAGGAAAGCAACATGGGTGGAAGGAGTGAGAGGAGGAGGTGAATGTGAGGATTTTGAGGAGGAGGAAAAATGAAAGAGAGTAAGAAATGAGAGAAGAAGAGGATGAAGCAATTGTGGAGGCAGGGGGGGCGGAGGGAAAATGGGAGGACGAGTAACTTGAGGAAGGAGAAAAGTGGAGATGATGTGATAGAGAGGAGAAGAGGAGGATGAAGGAGATGATAATGGGAGAGAGATGGGGAGGGGGAGAGAGGGGTGAGGAGGTGGAAGAGAGAAAGATGAATTTTTTTTGTAGATATTTTAAATTTTGGATGGTAAATATATAAGTGAGAGAAATTTAAAAGATATATATGTAAAAATTTATATTTTTCCTGGTCAAACTAAAACTCTTGCAATTGAAACATGTGTAAAGAGTTAAATGTATGAATTTATATAAATGTTATTATGGTCGGTGTAAATTTTTAGGCCTTATTACTTGGTGGCCCCTTCAATAGTGCCGGAGAAGCATTTCTATGCTACAGTGTTTTATTCTCCTTTGCCTTTGGAAACGATAACAGGTTTTCTTTGCGTCGATGCTTCTTCTTAGTTCTATTTTCTTTTAAAATCCGTTTTTAGATATGATTATTATTGTTTAATCTAAAACTAGGTCTTTGATTGACGATCGGTTTCAGTGGCTCTCCCCGCAAAACCTCCTCTTTTAAATTCTAGGGTTTTGTCAGCCGCGAGTAGATACCTTGAAGGCCAGGATAAGGCTCGCGTTAGGGTTTCGGCCGGCCAGACTGAGAAATTCGATGACGTTTGGAACTGAAATCGTTGATGTTAATGTGGTTGCGGAATCCAATGATGGATTGGGGGATTACCTGAGATTGCCGCCATCCGATGACCCTGAGCTGGGGAAATCTGTTGAGGTGCAGGTTCGATGTTCCTGGATAAAGAGGATTTCTTGGACTTGGTGGTTAAAGGTTGCTGTTTTATGCCTCTTCTTGGCTGCTGTTGCTGCGCTTTTGGTTATCTTCGGCGGCCCTTTCCTCCTCAAAAAGGTTTTCTATTTCTTTACATTGATCTCCTTTTAGTTCATTATTTGGTTTGTGCTTGATTCATTTCTCTGTTATTTAAGTGGCAGAGGACAATGGCTGCACACTTTTCCCTTGTAGACTAAAATTCCACCAAACATTGAATTGACATGCATAAAGGGTGTTGATATCTACTAGAATGAATAATCTGAGAGTAAATGTAAGAGACCCAGGAGAACTTAGCCTAAGAGCTAATTGCTATTTGAGGAAGAAAACCCAAATTTTCTGTAAAACCACAATTGGCTTCTGTAAACCCACAATTGACTAACACGTGACTTAATTGAACTTAAAGTACCACCACACTTCCGGAGTCCCAGTGCATATGCAGGTTGGTTGGGGACTGGTCAGGTCTCGGTTGAACTCTGCAATTTCAACGTCACCCCTCTCGCGAACTCATCCCTAAAGCTAGCTCTTAGAGACAGGGAACTTTCACCAACCCGCAATTGACTTGCTATTTAGCAGTATGTGATTAAATGGAGAAAATGGGATGTGTATCCCGAATCCCTTTGTTATTATTGAAAATCTATATGACACTATAGTATTGAGAAGTCTGTAGCAATCCTACTTACATAGTTTATGGAATGGTAGTTGTGGTTTAGCTATTTCACGTAAACAGAGAACACACTCAACATAGTGAGGGATAAAAAATATTTATCTAAATCTGATTCTGATAAGATGTCAACTTTGGTTCATGTCTGAGTTTGATATTAAGTAATTCCTCTGGCTAATAAGACGTTGGTGCTTGTAACTATGGATACTAAAAGGTCTTATCTTTACTGAGTTGAAAGAAGCATTTTGTTGTTGCTGTCATCTCACTTCCCAGAGTGTGTAACTACTGTTATGGACTCTCAGTTACCAGATACCTTATGCAAGCATTGATTCCTTGTTTCCACATTGCTGGAGATCGCCGCTGTAGATCGTCGTTTGATGTAGATGGTTGTAGACGATCATTGCTTGCCTCACAGAGAGGCCAGTGAGAAAGAAACACTAGGATGGAAGGAAAAATCCTGAACCGGAGCGCCCCACAACATGCACAAGGTGTTTGCTAGCACCCTCAACTCGCCTCGTGCAAGCATAGTGGCCCATATCAGATGCAGAGCGCTCTGCCATCACATCAAAGTGCCTTTCTCGCAAGGCGCGCGACCGAGGACTCGCAAGATCGTTTTGCATTCAATGCAGATTTTTCATCTGGGGATTGACTTGACTATTTAAAAAAATATGCTATAAAGGTTATCCTTGTGATGGAAATGCATCCATACTATGATCTCTCATAGAATTGTGGTAACAGCACATATTTCTCAATCTTTCATCTGTTTCTTAAAAATAGTGACTAGGTGTTTGTAGGCCTTCTCTTATGCTTATGGGGTTGCCACTTGCCATGAAGCTTAGCAGATTTGGTATTGTTGTATTATGATCCTTGTGAAATGAATACCTCCCCTGTGACTGTATACATGTCCAACTGAATTTCCACCATTTGCTCTTTCATCTAATTGCGTGTCTTCAAGGATGAGAAAATAGACAAATTAAGATAATGATGATACACCATTACCAGGAGAGTAGAGCACACATGGAAAATCTTGAGATCTTAACCCCAAGAGGAACTTATACCTCTACTAATCTGGATTGATTTGATGTAGAATTTGACTGACCTTAGACTTGTTGGCACTTCAAGTAATCTAGATTGATTTTGTGAAGCTAGACTAGAAATATAACACTGTCTATGAATGAAGCTCTTTCGCTTTCTTCTCGCTTCTCATCATGAGAGAGATACTAAATCTCTCAACATAAATTATGGGAGAGATGCTATGTGGAGATTGATACTCTTCAGTGAACAATGAAATTAGTTGCTGCCATTGGCAAATTTATTGCATTTTGGGTGGTCTTGTCATTCAAATCGTTGTCTCACTATCTCATTTAAATATCTCCAAGATCAAGTTAATACAATCAGCTTTAGTGCAATTTAAAACCATATAGCTGACTTGCCAGTGCTCTTTGATACAGGAACATAATGTAAGAATAGTGGAAAACAAGGGAGGGAACCTATGATTTTGAGCTAATTTTCTGGATCCCAGGGTATACTGAACACTGTATCCACTACCATTTTTAACTTGCTACTGTGATTTAATTCATACCCATGTGACATATGCAATATTCATGTGCATCATAGGACAGGAATTAGAAAACAATGTTTGTAGTCTCTGCATCATTACAGCTTATGGTGCAAGGAAAGCTTAATCATACAGTAAGCATATCACTCTACATAGTCATCCTCACAAACTTGCAATTTACAACCTAATAATCTGGTTATTGCTTTTCTGTCAATTCTATTTTCCTTTTCTTGTATATTGCCTCTGTAGGGTGTAAGATAACCACTTAACTGAGAAAAATAAATATGGGGATGGGTCGTTCAAAAAGAAAAGAATATGTGATGGAAAATTATTGCATTTTAATCTTATGATTGTGGGGCTTGAACCAAGCATACCTTAAAATACTGTTCATCATGTCAGGCAACTATTACCCAAAAGCTTAAGTTGATTGTAAAATATTGTATTAAGTGCTCTCAACACTTGCATCCAGATGGATTTTTCAAAACCTTGTTCTGTTTCTGCGCTGCATTGATGCACATGCACGTTGTGCTTAGGATACCTGTTACTACATCTTGACTGATCTTACTTTTACAAAATTCTCTAACTGGGCCTGTATTTGTTTTATTGTGTGATTCTACTTTTTCTAAGTTCAAGAAAATATTGCGGGGATGTGTTCTATGCATTTTCCTTACCATGTGCCAATTTTTTTGTGAAAATAGATTGTAATATTGTATAAAATGTGAAGGAACCTGCTTTATTATGTCAACATGCAGTTTCATGTTCATTTTCATTTTCCTTTTGTAGTCAATGCATGACATGATTTTTTATACACATATATGTTCATGCTTCTCTACCTCCATCTATAGCCAGTTAGCCACTTTTACTTGTCTCTTCTGTTCTAGAAAGGACCAAGGGATTTTGATTTTAGTTTCAACAACCATGATTATATGAATCACACGTACGACTTCACATTGACGTAGGCAAATGGACCACCGATATTTCAATATGCCTCTTACATTGCCATGTTCAGTAAGAACGTTATTTTGGTCTGTTCACCCTTAACTCTCTGTACTTTTTATTAATAGATTAAGTTCTCGGAGGCATGTGTAATTGTGATTTTTCATGTGACTAGTATCTATGAAATTTTCATTATGTTAACGCTCTGAATTACGATTTTTTTCTACATAGGCAATGCCATAGACTCATGGAGTTCGTTAATAGTTAATTTTTTTTTTTCTATTTTCTGCTCCATGCATGCTAATTTATCTCAACAGACAACAAGTATATGATATCTTCTTGCTTTATTATTCAACTGAAAGCAATATTATCTCTTTGTGTGCTTCTCTATGATTCAAAACTTCTGTCTCTGTTTTGTGCTATCTCATGCCTTCAAGATGACCTGGCAGGTGGTTATACCGATACTCGAGTGGGAAATGGCAACATTTAGCATTCCAATCCTTGGCTTATTAATTTTTGTTTTTATTGCGATTTGTCCTGTTCTATTGTTGCCCTCTTCACCATGTATGTGGATAGCTGGAATGTCTTTCGGCTATGGTTATGGATTTCTGTTAATTATGGCCGCTTCAAGCATTGGCATGTCGTTGCCCTTTTTTATTGGGCATCTCTTCCGCCATAAATTACATGTAAGTTCCTGCAACATTTTTAGCCTATCTATTCTTGTCATGTTATTATTTGGAGTTTCTTTATTACTTCTGACCTTTTGTCTATCTTGTGATTGATACACAGAAATGGCTGGAGAAGTGGCCCAAGCAAGCAGCTCTTGTCAGATTAGCTAGCGAGGGAAACTGGTTTCATCAATTTCGAGCTGTTACGTTGCTCAGGGTTTCTCCCTTCCCATATATAGTTTTCAATTATGCAGCTGTAGCTACGAATGTTAAGTACTTCCCTTACATATGTGGATCTCTGATTGGGTCGGTGCCTGAGACTTTTATGACAATCTACACGTTAGTATTCTTTTCTTATAATACTAGTTCTTCAGCCAATATAATAGTCCTATAATCTGGTAACATTTTTCGTGTAATTTTTCTTCGTAGTTTTATGACTTTCTCCATTTATTTAGTTTGAGCGTTAGGTTAATATGAGTTTCACTTGTTTATGAAACATCTAACATTCGTGTAACATCTTATAGATGTTCCACGATCTCTTCTAGTGGATATGCCTGGTGTTGGAATTTGACTAAAAATTTGTAAATGTATTTTAACTTGGCAGGAATTATATAAGACACCCTTGTTGGAACAAATTTACCCTGATAGTGTAGTTATGGCACCAGAGTTCTTATTTTATTAACATTTATTCAATCAGGAATATATAGCTATATGATGATTGTTATAAACTTATAGCAGACAGTAGTTGTCAGCATATTATATAGGTTTCCTCTCAACTAATGATGGAATAGAATACCTTCATTTTCTCTCTTCTATTTATGGCAGTTGAGAGGATTTACTACATTGCAATAAAGTGAGGTTCGTGAAGGGTATGGGCTTTTATCCATTTTAGTCCATCTATATCTTGCATGGGCTTTATCCATTTTAGTCTATCTGTATCTTGCATATACTGGTATTTGGTACATTGCATACATTAGTGTATCTTGCTCACAGCTATGAAGCACCGACACGCGGGCCCCGAGTCCGTGTCCGACACGTGTCGGACGCGGACACGCGTTCGACACGCGTCGAACACACAGTCAACGCCCCCGACACGCGTCAACGCCCCGACACGCCCCCGACTCATTCCCGACACGGCTGAGATTCGCGAACAAAAAAGAAAAACCCGAAACTCAAACCCTAATTTCTTCACTTACCAGAGTCCCGACGCCGCCACAATCCCTTCATCTCTCTCGAGATCGGCTCGCCACAATCCCTTCATCTCTCTCGAGATCGGCTCGTCCTCGTCCTCGTCGGCTCGTCGCTGCTAGGCCAGTCTCTCTCTCTCGATCTCTCGATATCTTCGTCCCGATCTCTCGATCTCTTCATCTCTCTCTCCTGATCTCTCGATCTCTTTGTCTCTCTTGACTAATCTCTTCGTCTCTCTGGATCTCTTCGTCTCTCTCTCACTGATTCTCTTTCTCTGAATCCGTCTCTCTTTCTCTCTCTAAATATACATTTGAAGACTTTACTGTTTTCACGTGAATTTACTGTTAATTAAATTAGGGTTCCATTTAATTAGGGTTATTGCTACATTTTAATTTACTGTTTTCTATTAATTTACTATTAATTAGTTAGGGTTCCATTAATTTACTGTTAATTAATTAGGGTTTTATTTTTTAATTTACTGTTAATTAAGATTTTAGTTACTGTTTTGCTATTGATAATTTTTTAATTTACTGTTATTGCTATTGTACTTTAGAGAAATGGAACAAGAAAGGAGTTCTAGTGGCAGTGGAGTATAAGATGACAAATGCCCGCTTTGAAAATATGTTACCAAATTGGAAAAAAAGGGGAAACGACATGAGGAAATTGAAGATGGAGATGTAATTATTGCAGAGAGGAGTTTACCGGTTGATACTTAAGAGTTAAAAATCTCCTCTTGAGGATAAGCAGGACTGAAATTAAGATGTGTTCCAAGTCAACATCTGAAAACCTAAGGGAGTTTCAAAGGACGTTGGATCAAGCGGAGGCGAGGTTAAGAGCTTCTAGGCCTAAGATTTTATCTTTGCCTACATCTTCGACTGTAAGTACGACCGGTGTAAGTGCAAGTGCAAGCATGCTGAATCGTGCAAGTGAATCTAAGAGGAGGAGGGGGCCTAATACCGTGAAACAAGCATTCAACATAGGAACAATGGAGGAATTGGATGCATTGATTGTTAGGATGTTCTTCACCGAGGGATTGTCCTTCAACTTGACAAGGAATCCATATTATGCTAAGGCTTTTATATATGCCGTAAGCAATCCAATCTCTGGCTACAAGCCTCCCAGTTACAATTATATGAGGACCACTATCTTACAACGTGAGAAAGCTCACGTAGAAAGATTGATGGAGCCCATCAGAGGCACATGGCAACAGAAGGGGGTCTCCATTTGTAGTGATGGGTGGACAGATGCACAAAGGAGGCCCATCATTAATTTTATGGCGGTATGTGAGGGTAAGTCAATGTTCTTGAATGTCGTGAATGCGTCATCCAAATCATAACCGATAATGCTTCGGCATGCAAGGCCGCGGGAGGGCTTGTGGAGGGCACCTGGCCTCACATATATTGGACTCCTTGTGTAGTCCATACACTCAATCTTGCTATCAAGAATATTTGTGCAGCTAAGAACACTGAAGCAAATGTCGTGGCTTATGCACAATTACATTGGATTACAGAGATCTCCAATGATGCATTGCTTATGAAGAATTTTATCATGAACCATTCTATGCGGCTTGTCATGTTCAATGATTATTCCAAGATGAAGCTCCTATTAATTGCCGACGCAAGATTTGCCTCGTGGATTATTATGTTAAAAAGGTTTAAGGTCTTCAAGAGAGCCGTCCAAGACATGATCCTTAGTGATCAATAGAGCTTGTATAGAGAAGATGATGTGGAGAAAGCTAAATTTGTGAAAGAGAAAGTCCTCGATGATTTGTGGTAGAACAAGATAGATTTTATTCTTGACTTTACTGGCCCAATCTATAAAATGATAAGGTTCACCGACACCGATACAATATGTCTTCATTTGGTGTATGATATGTGGGATACAATGATTAAGAAGGTGAAACAAGCTATTTATAGGCATGAGGGTAAAAGGGATAACGAGGAATCTCTTTTTTATGAGGTGGTTCATAAGATCTTGGTGGATCTATGAAACAAGAGCAACACCCCGCTTCAGCACTTGACATACTCTTTAGTTCCAAGGTAATATTTCACATTTCACTCTTTAATGTGAATATTTCTATTAATCAATACATTGTGGGCTAATTCATGTTATTAACGAACATATGTACTATCACTCCACATGGCTCAATGAGAACGTTAATCGGCAAGCTCCAAATCAAGATCTTGAGATCTCTACGGAAAGAGCAAAGTGCTTAAGAATCTACTATCCTAACCCCGATGAACGACAGACGGTGAACTTGGAATATGCTAAGTTTGCAAGGCTTTGGAGGCTTTTAGTGATCCGGATTCTCTTTTCGATAGAGGACATATGGATCCAAAGTCATGGTGGCTTTTTTATGGTCTAAGTACTCCAAATTTGCAAGCATTGGCCGTAAAGCTTCTAGGCTAACCTTGTTCCTCTTCTTGTTGTGAATGGAATTGGAATATGTATGGTTTCATTCACTCCTTAAAGAGGAACAAGCTAACCCGGCACGTGCAGAGGATCTTTTTTATGTTCACACCAACCTTCGCTTACTTTCGCGAAGTTCGGAAGAGTATGGAAGGGGAATCAAGAATATGAGATATTGGTGGAGATGCTTTCGACTCATTTCAAGGTGCCGACATTTTAGAAGTTGTTACTCTTTTTCTTGATGAGCCCACGATAGAGGCCGTTGTGTTTGAGGAGGATGAATGAGTTGAAGCCATAGAACGATCTTTTTGATGTTTCAACTTGAAAACTTTATTTTAAGATATGTTTTTGGTTGTAATTTTTATATTTTTACAATGTTAGTAACTTAATATTTTGTAGCCATGGAACTAGTTGCAACTTGATCTTTATTCTCATGTAATTTTTATATGTTTGCACCGTTAGACTTGAATTTTATAAACTTATCTATATATAATAATAATATTAAAAAAATCTAGTCGTGTCGCCGTGTCCTATTTTCTTGGGTTTTGCCGTGTCTGTATCGTGTCATGTCCGTGTCTCCGTGTCCGTGCTTCATAGGCTCACAGTAGTGCAAAATCAACAACAACGACAACGCCTTTATTGCAAATTGGATTTGACTAAATGGGTCCTATTCTTCCATACAGTTCTATTAGCTCTATCTCTTCCCTTTAGTTAACTATTATCATATCCTTCTAGTTCCAACCAATTTGTGAGATCGATCTATTGCTCCTTGCCTCATAATTATAATCTTATTATTATTTCAACTGGTGCATTTAGTGGCCTACGAGTAGTTCAAAAACCAGACTCTTCTATTTCCTAAAGGGCAGATTAGCCATACCAATCTGTTTGTGTACAAACATAATTTATGCATCTGCATTTGTGAAGTCATCCATAGGTGAATGAATTGGTTTATAAGAGAATATTCCCTTTAAAATATCATTCCATTCACATGCACGGTTGAATGCTCTGACTGCTCACCCATTTTGAACTTGCTCTGCCTCAAGCAGTCTTAACCATGGAGTTTGTTTCCATCGTTCTAATTAATATGCTAGGCATGATTAAATGAAGTGTCATAAGAATCTGATATGAGAGAACCTTGGTTATATCATAACCGGCTTTCATGTGGGTTGGGAAATATTGTTCAGCTTGGTCCATTCGTAGGAAATTCTTCCTTAGTTTATTTGTTTGCATGAGAAAAAGGATAACCATAGCATTCTGAAGGAATTTAATCAGATTGTAGGCTAAATTATATTTACTAAAAGCTTAAGTTACATTGACCATAAAGTGAAAAGATCTTTGAACCTAAGTGTACTTGGTATTCTTACACTGTATGCTTATTCTTCAGCTCTGTAAACGGAGGTAATTTTATGGTAAGATAAACTGATATTAGATTGTTTGAAGTTAGGTCTTATCATCTTAAGGATGTGTGAACTTGAGTTTGTAAAACACTGAAGGACCATAATAAAGATGGTAACCATATAGATTTAGGTATTGCTGCATATGTGTCAGTCTGTGAAACCATTACTTTGGGTAAGTCATGTAGTTCAAAATTTCATTGTCGTTTATGCCGTGCATTTCATTTATTGTCCAATATTATTTATGAACTTAGTAAGTTCTTTTGTGATACTGGATCATTTTAGATTTGGTCTTAGACTCTTTACACTATGTACGCTTTCCTCATAACAATGAAGAAGTACTTCATGCGGAATAAATATCGAAGAAAAAAACCCATAACGGAGATGATAACCATGTAGCCGTTACTAGATGTGTTCTATGTCATTGCTTTCTCCAAGTCTTTCATTGTATTATTAGTATAGTCATACTGACATGTTTTTCAGGTTTTGTGTTTCATAGTCATAGTAAAACAGAATTGTTGAAAGAAAAGTACTTTGCATCCCTTTTGCAGAAGAACGCTTAGCTTTTGTTGGGTTCCGTCTGTCTCTGCCAACTTTCACCTGTTTTCCTTACCAGCAGTGCACTTACTTCCGTGATGATGATTTCCGCTTTAAGAAGATGTGATCTCCTGTTCTTCTTCCCTTCACCTTTACCTACATTGAATTGCTTGATGGCTTTGCCCAAATTAAATCCAGAAAGAATATAAACTATCCTGCTTGGCCTGCAATGAATATGAGCCAGATTCCTATACCTTGTTCTCTTATTATGAGTTGCTGGGCTTGTTATTTTGTTTTTCCTGTTTATCCTTGTTTTCCCTTTTGTTATTCTTTAGGAATGTTGCATTTAGGAAGAAGAGAACACTTTTTGCTGATGGGGCAAAGTTTCAGGTTGCAATAGTTAGTGCAGACCAGGAACAGAGGAATCATTGGAAAAGAAATTGCAGGGTCTCAGCTTTCCACTCTGGTTCCTGCTTAATTCGTGCCAGTTAGCATTTAAGTAGGTTTTACAAAATGAAACTATGGATAAATCAAGGTGAATTAACGAAATAATAATTATGAATCTCAAAAGCATAAAGTTTAAATTAAAAAAAAAATCATGTTCACATAAACAGTGGCTGCTACAGTCACAATATGAATCTTATCCACATAAACTCTTCAGTTAGATATCCTATTTAATATGAAATTCAGTTTTGTGAATAAAATTTGAAACCTAGGACAAATCCTAATTTTAAACTTAATCCACATTAATTCAAACTACATCAATAACCAAACTGCATGGAAGGACATTTTCCTAGGCAATCATACGGATGATAATACTATGCAAGATCAGTATCATGTTCATAGTTATTCTCAGGGAAATTTCATCTTACTGAAAACAGCCATGGTTTGACTTTCTACTCACCCGCAATCTGAGGTCTGAGTTTTCCTGTGACCTGGCTTATTTCTCTTCTACTGTGAAATATTCATGTGCTTGAATAGAGTTTAACACCATCAATTATCTATATGAATCTTTTCACCAACAATATTGCAAATCATTTGTTCAACGACCCAAAAGTCTCAGGAAAGTGCTGAAACCTCAAATTCCAATCTCCTTGAGGCATTCAGCTATGTTGAGCATAAGTTGATTCATAGTTGCTCCTATATACTCTGAAATTAATGTTATTCCTGCAGCATAATTTCTTTTGACCTATTTCAGTCTTCTGGAGTATTTTAGACCATTTTTCTTTCACTTTGATCTTTAGGAGATTTCAAATATAATCCGACACTTCCAAATGATAGCAACATTTAAATGAGCACCCTGGAGGAAGGAGGGTTCCACTGATCACACAACCATCAGTTTCACTCCTTTTACAGCTACATGAGCAAATAAGAAAATAAGTAGCAATTTGATGGACAGTTATCTTTCAAGACATTCTATTAGTTTTTACATCTATTATCCTTGTAATTACTCTAGATGTTTTTTTTCCTACTAATTTTCTCTGTTGGTGGATTGACCACAGCGGGAGGCTGCTTCGTACTTTGGCTGATGTAGCTACTGAGGGTGGATTCTTGTCGATGGAGCAGGTCCTCTATAATGCACTATGTTTTGGAGCGGCTGTAGCTGCGACAGCTGCCTTCACCATCTATGCAAAGCGGGCTCTTCAAACTCTCAAGGCTGGGGAAGGGCTAAGTGTAGCGTGAGACCTTGTATGGATCATACTTAATGACATAGGTATATTGGATACGAGCTTCCACTTCATTTTCTTTAATTGAGTTTCAAGAGATACCACTGGATGGTGAGGTGTCTAGCATGATGGATTTTACCACTAGTTTATTTGTTGGTAGCTCGTGCGCCGGAATGAGCTGTCGGCTCGGCTCGTACCCAGGATTTCCACTAGTTTATTTGTTGGTAGCTCGTGCGCCGGAATGAGCTGTCGGCTCGGCTCGTACCCAGGATTTCCTTGGGCAAATGATGGCACTTTCTTTTGGTTTCTCCTTTGTTAAGGCACCTTCTGGCTGACGAGAGTCTGGTGGGGATGGATGCTGCAGATGTAACAGAGTATTGTATACATATATTTGAAATTGTAACTTTTATAGAAAAATCATTCAGTATATGTTAGTATGAAGATTAGAAATTGTAACTTGTCTACTTACAACGTATAGAAAGTGTCGTGATTATTATCTGTTGTGTTTCAGAATTTTCTTTAGGCAAGAAGGTTGTACACAGACCTTCTCAAGATCTCTCACACAAGCTTCCTAAACAAGATCTTGAGCAGAAAAACGTATGCATATCTATTTCTAATTTGATAACCAGCAGTCATCTTAGGGTTTGATCAGCCAATTCACTATTGATAGTGTTTATGATGGTTGACTTGTTCCAAAGGTGTTTGATAACTATCCGATAGCAATGTGGCATGGGGAAAGCTTTCACTCCATATGATGTCTGAGACTTGGATGCAGTATTCTCTAAGAAATGCACGGTATTTCCCTCATTGGGAGAATGTTGGACATCTGCCTGATTTTGATTTGTGCATAACTTTCAGCTTTAATATATCTGGATTTACTTTTCTTCAGCTTTATAGGGATCTTGGCTTACGGATCTCCGGCCCCCTGCCAGCAGAGGGAAATAAACACCCTGTTCAAAAATAAGATCTTAAGCATAGCTCCTTTTTTAACTCCTCTTGCAAATAGGGAGATGTCAAGTTGGCAGTCTGCAGTTTCTTTCAAAAGTAAATTCCAAGTTGAACATGCTTGTTTTTTGTGTCATTTTATTGCGAGTGAAATTTCATTTATGAACCCGGAGCTTGGTGGATTTTTCTTCTAGTATCCTCAAGTGTTTCTACGCTTACTTCTACCCAAAGTTTGCTCCATTAACCACTTCGGATCAGCTGTTGCACTCTTGCTTTGTACCATTCAAGTTCTTGAGGCAGTTATCGTACACTTCGCGTGATCTATAATATTCTAGATCTCAAATACACTACATCAGGATCAACATTCTTGATGTGAACCTAGGTGACTTATTCCTCACGGTTCCTCTCTCGAATAGAAAGGGAATCAGGATCAACTATCTTCACGTGAACCTGAGTGACTTATTCCTCATAGTTTCTCTCTCGAAGAGAGGGGAGGGGGGTTGATGTGAATTTGGGTGACATATTCCTCACAATTTCTCCCTTTGAAGAGAAAAAAAAGGGGGACACTCTTTATGTGAACCTAGGTGACTTGTTCCTCACAGTTTTCTCTCTCGAAGAGGAAGAGGGGAGGGGAGGAGTTCTGACTTATTCCTCACGATGTCGGATGTCAAATTGACTATGTATTATAAGGCTTGGGCTTCATAAACGTTGAGCCACTATATCAATTCAAGGCTCAGTCTTTAGTACTAAGATTCAAGGCTCAGATTTCATGAACATTGAACCACCGTCTCAAACTTTCCTAGGGATGACAATAAGTTGTATATAACTCACAATACAAGGTTTACTATAGTTCAACCTAATTCTCACAATACAAGGTTTACTATAGTTCAACCTAATTTGGTCATGGATATCCAAAAAATAAGGCTTAATTTAAAAAGTCAGTTGCATATAAAATTCGATTAAAAAAAATTCGCCGCATGTATTAAATTTCCCATAACAAGATTCATTTTGAACGTTATTCAGTTTCTCCATCAATTTGCAGACCATTCATTTTAAGTTATTAAATAGCATAAAACATATAATGTTTGATAAATAAAGTAATAATCATTCCTCAACCACCCATCACCGACTGACTTATTGCTACTGAAATGGGCGTATTCTATATTGATTTGTTTATTTATTATAGATCTGTCTCTGTTCCTTGGTTGGTTATGCCATCGATATACGTAGGACTCCACCACATCATTAGTTTGAAAAAAACTTTGTTAATCATTCCGCCCATAAAAGGCACACCTTTTTCTCTTTTTGTTTACAGTTAACTATATTTGACGAATAAGATAATGAAAATTCTGAACAAAAGGTGTACTCATCATCAATAAGGGCCCCATTTCGACGGTAATTACCTACTGGCATCTCTTGTTAAAGGTGGATAAAATAATTTTATTTTATTTCGATTGTATCTTGAAAATTACTATGTCCTTTAACAGGACACACGGCAGAAATAGTAGGAAGGTACAAATGGTCGACACATCCAATCCAAGTTCAAGCTGTCAACTCAGCTGACTCATCGGGTGCAAGACGAAATGTGACGCCCCAGGGTTCACACAAGGCTGCAGTCCCAGGTGAAACCCGGATTGTCAAACCTGCCAAGCACCAACCACCATGTTATGATAAGTTTCACCATCAGAATCACTATCTCTCTAGTGGAAACAATAAATAGGTGAAGGTACAAACATGCAAAAATAGAAATAGAACAACACTGGATAAACACAGAAGAAGCATAAGAATATCAATAATGAGCCTAACTGGAATAAGATAAACATATCTCTGAGTCTGAACTAAATCTCAATGAGTCTGAACTAAATCTCAAAGAAAAAAAAAAAAAAAAAAACAAAGTCTTACAATAGCTCTCAACTCTATGAAATAAAATACTAATCTGGAGTTTGAAAGCAATCAACTACATGTGGAGTTCTGCGATAACTATAAATTTTAATAAATAGCTAAACGGACAACTAAAATGTCCCATCAACCTGCGACTTTTCGTGCGCTTGACTCACTGCTTGAAAAGGAGGGAAAAACAATGAGCGTCAAAGCACTAGCGAAATCATCACTACCTCTACCCAGGGGAAGGGGTAGGAGTATATAAGAAAATAAAGTCAGTACAGACATATATTAAATCATTCATATTACTCTCTATGAATGAAAAGCAATTAATCAATTATAAATACCCCAATCTCCCACACAAAGAAAAACCATCTCATCTCGAACTACGTTCGAGTGACCTGCTCTATAATAAGAGGATATCAACAATTGCTAAAACAAAATATATCTACCGTTCATAACGGGTACATCAAAAATCTCAAAGAAAATACCCTACTCGCGGGTAATCTATCATGGAAGTGAAGCTTACAGCTAATTAATTATCTATGTGTGCATCATCTTGTGCTATAGCGATACTTTTGTAATGCTCATTATTCAATCGCTCTGCGGCAATAGGATTATTATTCTCCTATTCCGGATACATGCAACAATGATACTATTCTAATACTCTTACTCAATTGTTTTGCGGTAAATATGTTTCATCTCCCTATTTCCGGATACGTATAGATAACATTATTCATATGTGTTTATCAAATTAACTCATGTCGGAAGTGTGTAATTCTAACACAATATAACATACATGCACCAATTTCGGTGTGCGTGTCTACCTCTGAAATTCACCATCATCCCAGGTGTTTAACAGTCAAATAACATCGTAGTCTATCAGCACAAGATCGAGAAATTTGATCGACAAGTCAAATACAACCTTCAAAAACATGCACAACAAAAAACAAACTGGCGGTCGACCGCGACGGCCTCCAGAGAATACCTAGGTCTCTGTCTTGCACGCGGTCGACCGCGGCGGTCGACCGTGAACCATATTTCCAGATTCTCATGTTCTTTGTATATGTCATGTTCTTGTCGTGTTTTTGTGATTCAAACATGATTAAATCTTCATAAAACTTGTATGGAAACATGCTACAGTAGATATGAACATCTGGAAATAACTCAACAACAATAAACATGATTTTATGAATTAGATTTATATTCAAAACCCTAAAACATGCATAAAAGCTCAAAACAACAAATTAAACTTTTTTCTTTAGATTAACCATGTTTAAAAATCATCATCAGATCTTAATCACATCTGTAAAAATGTTCTCAACCTTTTTAGCATGGAAAGACCTAATCTTTATACATATAATACAAAAGAAATTATCTTTTATACATAATCTATTCATTTTGGCTCTACAAAACATGTTAAAAACTCTTTAAAAACGTTTTGAAAAGTAGGAGGAGGATTAGCAGAGATGATACTCGCCTTTGATTGCCGAAAATTGTGTTAGAAGCAAGGTTGAAAAATATATCCACTCCAAAAGCTAAGAATCACCCAAAAATCAACTTGAAATCCTTCAATCTTCTCCAAGAAATCAAACTAGGGTTTGGAGGATTTTGGTGGCTGTTAGGGTTCTTAGGAAAACTGAGAAATTCGTGAAAAACTCATATATATATCAAGGGAAAACGGATATGGGTTTATAAATCCGAAACCAACTCAAAACAGGAAAAAAACAATCTGCAGGTATCGCGGTCGACCGTGGCGGTCGACCGGACTGGGATTTTCCAGTTTTTATGCTTTTGGCCATGTGTGCATGTTTCAACCCTATTCTCTCTCATGTATGAACTCTTTCATACTCAAAACACATGGTATTATACTCATATACCATTAAATGATATTTATCATACTAAATATCCACACATCATAATTTATCACACATTAATTTTATTATTTATAAATTATCGGGGTTTTACATTCACCCCCCTTAAGAGGATTTCGTCCTCGAAATTCCGCAGTCGCATCTCAAAGCTCAAAAACTGGGAAAACACATTAAGAATGTGTAATTCATATTAAGAATTCCTTCTGCACACATCACATAATATTAGCACAATGATATTTAAGGTTAACAACCTAGAATGCAAACATTCTTACATAAATCCTTAACTAAACGAAATTGGTACATCGAGCGAAATAATCCAAACAATGAAACCATCATGTATATACCATATACTTCAATTGATTAAGGATTAGGTAATAATATCCCCATTCTAGTGTTAAAGATAAATATAAATGTGACTAAATAATCATAGATAATGACAACTATCATGTCATATAAGCATATAAACATCATACCTATCCAAACAGGTGCGGGTAGTCGCGACGAACATCCTCCTCGCGTTCCCAAGAAATCTCTTCGGTTCCTTGCCGGTTCCACTGAACTTTCACTAATGGAATGACTTTATTTCTAAGCTTTTTATCCTCTCTAGCAAGTATGCATATCGGTACTTCTACGGTAGTCAAATCACCCTGAATCTTAATTTCTAGTGAGTCAATCACTCTCTGCTGCTCATCATCCCGCAAATGCTTCTTAAGCATCGAAACATGAAAGACATCGTGTACACTCGACATTGATGCTGGAAGATCTAATCGGTAAGAAACAGCTCCAATGCACTCGATGATCCTAAAAGGA